TCACGACTAGCATTTTCTTTTCCTTTTAAATCGCTCCTCTCTCCCCCGGCCCTTCACCCACCACCACCACCACCCCGACTCCAAGTGGGGTGGCTGTCCTGTGGGACTTGAGAAGGAAATGGCCACCTGGGCTCAGGCAGCCGAGATAGATCCCAGTTCCCGTTGTTCCTCCAGGGTTCCAAGAACTTCGGTGACCGCCACAGGCAAAGTGGATTCCAATGCTAAGTGGAAGCCAGCGGCTCTGGAGACTCCAGAAAGGAAGGTCTGACAGAGCAGACCGACCGATGCGGGGAAAGAGGACAAACTTCCCAGAAATTCAGATTCCCTCCCAGCCGCCCCTCCCCAGCCAACTTGTAAAGGTTGCTTTGTGCTTTGAGGGGAGAGGCCTGGCTGGAAAGTGACTCTGTCTTAGGACAGAAATGCCTTACTATGCTCCAGCGCTCTAGCGGAGGGCCCGATGTTATTTCTGGAATCCCTGAGGCCAGGCTGCAGACACACAAGCGTTTATGGCCCTGTGGGTTGGGTGGAGCTGGACACATAGAAATCCCCAAGGAAAGAATTTACATGTGGAAGGTCAGATAAAATGCCTTCAACACAGGCTGCGAGTTTCAGGATTCCCTAAATTAGAGCGGCAAGCCCTGGGCAAAGGAGACACCCGTGGGTGGGGATTGGGGGAGATAGCTGAAGAGAAATTGTCAGAGTTGCGCTTTGGAGAGGTACCTGGACTATATTATTTATCAGTAAGTCAGGATGCTCTGGCATCTCTCCAAGTGGCACTAGGCAAGTTTTTGCTTTTCTTCTGTACCCTACACCTTAAAATCCCTGCCTTCAGCCGGGCGGTGGGGGCGCACGCCTTTAATCCCAGCACTCGGGAGGCAGAGCCAGGCGGATCTCTGTGAGTTCGAGGCCAGCCTGGTCTACAAAGCGAGTTCCAGGAAAGGCGCAAAACTACACAGAGAAACCCTGTCTCGAAAAAAACCAAAAAAAAAAAAAAAAAAATCCCTGCCTTCATCCAGATAACTGCACACCAGCTCATATAGTGATGACCATGTGAAATCAGAAACATTGACACATGAAATAGTAATATATGAGAGTCTCCAGAGAATTCTGCCTCTGTGTCTGAAGGAAACATCTGGACACATGAAGTCCCAGGACACCGAAAAGCTGACATTTATTGAATAGTAACCAGTGTCACACATGATTTAAGTCCTGCAATGATGAACTCATCCAATATACTTAAATGCCACTAGAAAACAAATACAGTTGTAATCACCATCTCTAATTCAAAGAAAAGAAAAATGAGGCACTGGTCACCCAGCTATTCAGCAGCAAAGCATATATATACATATATATATATATGTATGTATGTATGTATATATAAAACATATATATGTATATATATGCACACATGTATATATATACATACATATATATATGCACTTATGCAGTATAGGTGTCAAAGTTCATCCCTAAATCCTTGCTGAGGCTGCTTCACCCTGGTCCTCTCGGGCTCTGGTCGGGGCTGTGAAGGCTCTAAGAAGGTTCTGACTAGTTCCTCTGTTCTGTTGGAGTAGCATCCATGTATTCAGTATCACACTAGCGTGCTGGGAAGGATTCTAGGCAACAGACAGCAGAGAGTGCCGAGCAGTTACCTTATTGTTCCTGAATGGCCAGCTAAGAAGTTGTTACTGGGACAGAACAAGACACATTCATTATCTTGCAGCCAGACGACCCTAGATCTCAGCCCTGATATTTCTGATGTGACCTTGGGCATCTTGGTCCTCTTTGGACCTCCCTTCCTATACCTATAAACTGTAAAAAGAGTTCGTAACTCAGAGAGTTAAGTGAGCTCTCCCATAAGAAAATATGGGATGTCTCGCAAGTATCCCTTGAGTTTTAGTTTTGCTGTTTCCTCCCCTCTGCTTGGGGCTTGGGAGGATGTCCTCCCACATCCAGGAACCTTGGAACCATACGTGAAATGTTAATGAAAGCTTATCTCTTGTAATAATTAGCACAGGCGTGGACTGCTGGAAGGCTACTTGTAGTATCAAATGTGATCTGGGTGTTTCCATAAAGGTGCTTTTTTAAATGAGACTGACATTTTATTTAATTTTATTTTGTTGTTTTGTTTTCCGAGACAAGGTTTCTCTGTGTTGCTTTGCGCCTTTCCTGGAACTCACTCTGTAGACCAGGCTGGCCTCGAACTCACAGAGACCCGCCCGCCTCTGCCTCCCGAGTGCTGGGATTAAAGGCGTGCGCCACCACCACCCGGCTGTTTGTTTGTTTTTATTTTCCTATCTCATCTCTCCAGTGCCTTCTGAACACCCTGCCGTCTGGTTGGTTCCGCGGAGGCTCAGACCCTTTAAATCACCTACCCAATTGGTAGGCCTTAGAGATAGGAGTCAGAACCAGGTCTGTCTGACTTTTCTGCAACAGCGGGAACTCTGAACGCTTGCAGTGGGGGATAAGCTACCACTGTCTTGAGAACAATGCTTAGTTATTTGAGGCTGGTGGGTGGCTAAGTATATATCTACTGGTGAGTCGGCAGCTGATTTTATTTTCATATGGGAGCTCTGTTTCACTCCCAATGTATCTAGAGCAAGCAGGGCACCCTCTGATTCCTTGCTTGTTCTCTTGTTCTCTTTGATGGTTTCTGTATTTCTCTTCCCAGTTCCAACCTCCTGTCTGTGCTCTTTGAGAGGGCAAACTTAGATCTCACTCCCTTGTCCCTATTGACTTTTCTTGCCCACAAAAGGCATTCCGTGAAGGTTTGTTTTGAGAGCCGGTTCAGGCCATCGGGGCATGGCCGTCATATTGACGGTTAGTGTCGTGTGCTCACTGTGTGCCCACCAACACCACAGACAAAGGCACGGGGATACTGCACACAGAAGCCCAAAGAACAGAGCTGTGCTCAGATACTCTGTGAAAATAGGATTGTGCCAAGATCCTGGATGCCTCAGGGAACACCTTAAATATGAGGAATTAACGCACACCCTGGTAGACTATACAAATCCTGACTCAATATCTCATTGATTCATCAAAAAAAATTCCTTTTTTTTAAATTTTATTTCATGTGCATTGGTGTTTTGCCTGCATGTATGTCTGAGTGAGGATGCCAGATCTCCTGGAACTGGAGTTACAGACAGTTGTGAACCTCCGTGTGGGTGCTGGGAATTGAACCTGGGTCCTCTGGAAGCGCAGCCAGAGCTCTTAACTGCTGAGCCGTCTCTCCAGCCCTCAAAAAGATTCTTAAGGGTCTACCACGTGCCAGATGCTGTCTTAGGTGTTGGAGTTTTTGGAACTGTGTCTACAAGGAGTTTAGAAAAGAGAATAAGGGGTAGGACACTTAACCTGGAGCTCAGTAAAGGGCAGAGGAGGCATCCCCTCTTTTGGCAGTCCATCGCGGCCCTGTCGTAAGGGATTATCCACTGAGCCCAAACAACCACCGTCTTTGAGAGTTCAGTTGTGTCCACTTGTAGAAGATCACCCCAGCTAGGTGAGTTGATGACTGACATCCCCTAATAGGAGGGTCAGAGAGAGTCGCAGGACCCTTAGCTGAGTATCCAGTCATTCTCCACCTTCTGTGGTAGACAAGTCTGCACCACTTGCATGTGTCTCAGGGAGGGGCTGGAGTACATAAGGCAGGGAAGACTAGGTTTGTGGGGCTCCACCTGTGCAGCTTTGGAAAAATCATCCCTTTTGGGAAAAGACTCTCCAGGCAGCCTTTTGGGGGAGAGCGCCCACACTCCTGTAAGTAACCTTTCATCTACACTCTGTTAGTAAGCCTGAAAACCTCTTTGATTTCCCACACTTTGGTGAAATCATACCTCAGTTTGTCATTGGGACCTTAGGAGAAGGCGAATACCTGGTTGACGTCTCCTCTGGGGAAGGACTTTTAGCCACAGGCCCACTCACGTGGTTTCCTAGCCCACAGCCACCCAGGAGTGGCGGATCATAAGACATAAGCGTCCGCTCCCCTTTGCCAGCAGGTGGTTCTGAACAGAACTCAGGTTTGTTTCAAGGGCTGCCCTGGGATCCAGACGCTTTTACTCACTTGATAAAACAGAGACAACAAACGTACAAAGAGATGATGAGAAAAACCTAAGACATCAGGAGCACATGCCCACATAGCCCAGGGCCTACCTGCACAGCAGTGAACCTTAATAATCACACATGCAAAAAATGTTCGTTATGTTCTCAACCAGGCACGTTCTACATATATGTGTGCATATGCATATTTAAATTTTAAATTATTATTTATTTTATAGGTAAGAGTGTTTTGCCTAGACATATGTATGTGCACCATGTACCTTCAGAGGTCAGAAGAGGGCGTTGGATCTCCTGGAGCTGAAGTTACAGACGGTTATGAGCCACCAAGTGGGTGCTGGGAATCGGACCTGGGTCCTCTAGAAGAGTAGCCAGTGCTCTTAACTACTCTTGCATCTCTGTGGCTATACATACATACATACCGCATGCGTACATGTTTTTTTAAAGACGGGGTCTCCTGTAGCCTAAGCTGGCTTTAAACTCACTATGTAACCAAAGATGATCTTGAACTTGGGATCCTCTTGCTTCCCTCTCTCTGAGTGCCCTGCAAGCCTAGGTTATCTATAAACTAGGGCATCGTGCAAGCTAGGCAAGCACTCCATCACTGAGCTACACACAGTCGCAGCTCTAATGTATACTTTTTAATGTTTAGAATTTTAATAGAGCTCTGTATCAGTTCATTTTAACTCTTCTGCCAGAGCAAGGGGTGGGGGTGGGGTCAGAGGCTGCCTTAATTTCCCTACCTTGTCCTTATTTGAAACCCCCCAAGTATAAAGACATTTATTGTACTCAACTTCAAACTTCTCATTATCCTTTTTTTTTTTTTTTCTCTTACTCTTGGCAGATTTGCGTCTTTTCACGTGGCTAGGAGTGAAAAACCCTCGGTTCTTCGGTTTTCTACCTAATGATAAAGAAGTGTGCAGGGAGAGAGTATGGACAGGCAGAGCAAGGAGTCAGAGATATGCTTTTTAATGTCCAGGGTACTGGGGTTTTTAAGTTTTTATACATAAAGCAATAAACCTTTAACAGTCACCCAAATTATGACTCATCCCCAGACAATTCGGGAGAGCTGCACGGATGAGTGAACTCAAAACAGAGAACAATGCACACAGGAGTCAATTGTGTGTGCCTCACAATAAGCGCCATGGGAGTTGAGAGAAGGGAGAGGCGAGTGTGGGCTGGAGCGATGGAAGAGATTTCAGGCATCAGGAGGCTGCAGAGGGGAAGGGACCACAATCAGAAACCGGGAGAGCCATAGAGACAAGAATCCACATCTCTACCCTTCCTGCCCTAGTACAGCGACCCCTGGGGAGGCCTCTTGTGCTGGATTTACATGAGGCCAAGCCCAGGAAGGTACTGTCTTAGTTACTTTCCTTGCTACGGAAAAATACCTCACAAAATACTTCGTAAAAACCAGCGGCTCAAGGATACAGGCTATCATGGCAGGAAGATCCTGGAGGAGGATGTGATGTAGGAGGGGTAGCTGGTCACATCAAATCCATAATCAGGAAGCAGAGAGAGGGATGAACAGTGATGCTCCTCTGTACTTTTTGTTAAACCCAGGGCCTCAGCCCTTGGAATAGTGCTACCGGCAATTAGTACGGGTCTTCTCACCTCAGCTAACACAATCTAGAAACTCCCCTAGAGACATACCCAGAGTCCAGATCCTTCTTGTCAAGCTCAGCCAGTGTTAACCATCACAGTGGCTTGGACAAAATGTGGGGATGCAGATCACTCAGGAGACCACTTCCCAGCCAGAGGAGGTGGGATTTCTTCCGCCTTTGTTATTATGCCACAGCAGCTGAGTCACCAAGCTCATGGAGGCTTTAGCAAGCACACATTGTGCCAGAGAGACTGGATACACTCTCACCACATGCTCCCTCAGCAGGCCCATCTTGTTACCAACGGAAGGCCTTCCTATTCCTTTACCACATCAGTTCTGTCGGAGACTCAGTCGCAGCTCAGCGTGTTGGGTGGACCCGGAAGCCAGACGGCCTGGGGTCGAAGTAGGACTCCATCATTCATTTGTTATAGCATCTTCGGCAGGGTGCCTGGCCACTGAGTACCTCGGTTTCCCTCTTTGTACAGTGGGGATGGTGACAGTGGTGGTTTCCTGCCTCCCGGGGTTGTTCTGAAGGTTGGGTTCCTTTCCTGTCTGAGCTCCTGGCTTTCCCTCCTCCTCTTCTGGGCTCTGGTCCTGCTGTCCCCTGACCCCTGACATTTTCATCTGGCTACCTGCTCATCTCTCAATTCTAACAGAGATGACCCTCCTCCGAGTTACCCTTCAGCTCCTTGCCCCGCCCAGCTATCAAACAGCTCAACCCGTCCTGTGTTTCCTGAGCAAGAAGTCACTTTGGGTCAGCTCTGGTCTGCTCGCCCACAGGCTGAAGGTACCTCAAGGCAAGGGCTCTGTCTGTGTGATTTGCCCGCATGGCCTCAGTGCCTAGCTGAGCGCTGGCTGGTTATACTGGGTGTCAAGAAAGGGATGGTGAAAGGGATGAATTAACAAAGGCAGGAAGGAGGAACCCAGGGACAGGGTGAGCTGCTCAGGATGGCTTCAGGATTTGGCCCAGGTCCAGCCACAGCTGGAGACACCCGTGACTCTAACTGGGTGGGGGCGGGGTGGGGGTGGGTGCTTGGTGGAAGATCCGGGCAGCCTCTCCCACCCTCCTTCTCCCAGTCACAACCAAACTCCCAACTGCCCCAGAAGGTCTGGCAACTAGAGATTTCCCAAGAAGAGGCCTTTTGCAGAGAGGATGAGGCTTTTTTTTTTTTTTTCTGTTGTTGTTTTTCAAAACAGGGTTTCTCTATGTAGCTTTGGAGCCTGTCCTGGAACTTGCTCTGTAAACCAGGCTGGCCTCAAACTCACAGAGATCCGCTTGCCTCTGCCTCCCAAATGCTGGGATTAAAGGTGTGCGCCACCGCTGCCTGCCTGGGATGAGGCTTTTTTTTTTTTTTTTAATTGTTAATAAGATCCCTAATTTAGCTGAACAACTCTTCTGGGTTTCTTTAAACCAGGGTAAGTCCAGACAAGAGTACTGAGGGTCTTATACACTAAAATATGAGACCCTGTAGCTTGACTCATCTAAAGCTGCCCCTGGAAGAAAGGAGATGTCCCCACCCTGCTTGGCAGTCAGTATGCCTTGAGCTGCTTGCCTCGCGGCCTGGGGTCAGCGATTGATGCAATCGATACTAACGAGTAAATGATTGCCAGCCGTTCTCCCCGCTCCTCATCAGCCACCAGACTGACGAAGAGAGCCTCCCTCTGAAGGATTCTACAGCGGGTGAGGTGCTGGAATGTGCTCAGATGGAACCCGGCGGCAGCGGCCGGACGGACAGTTGTTGCGCAAACTTCCTGATAGGAAGGGAGAAAGGCAGCGACTTGTCCTTCTTCAGCCAATGGATTTAAAACATGAACCCAAATGAGAGCAGTTTCCACACACACACACACACACACACACACACACACACACACACACACACACACACACACACACACACACACGGGGGGGGGGGGGGCGGGAGAGGGCGGCGGGGGGGGCGGACTCACTGTAACAAGAGCTTAGCTTACAAAGGCAGAGCAGCGGGCAGGCTTGGGTCTGCAACACAGGAAGTTGTAGCTGCCACTCGCTCATGCAAGTCGAGAGCTGAGGTCTGGAGGCTCATTTTGAAGTTTTGCTGCAAATGGAAGCAAGTGAATAGAGGTGGAAGTGATGAGGTCGAGTCAGGGACCTGTCAGCAATTCTCAGAGGTCTGGCTGTTCCCTGACAGAGTCATCATACAGAGGTCCCCCGACATCCATGAAAACAAACAAACAAACAAATGGAGACTTTTAAGTTCCTTAGCTGGATTTTTACCTAATAAGTGCTCAGAAAATGCATGTTTTGTCCTGGCTAGTTTTATGTCAATTTGATACGAGTTAAAGTCATCTGGGAGAAGGGAACCTCAGTTAAGAAAATGCCTCCATAAGATCAGGCTGTATGCAAGCCTATAGGGCATTTTCTTAATTAGTGATAAATGGGGGAAGGGCCCAGCCCATGATGGGTGATGCCATCCCTGGGCTGGTGGTCCTGGGTTCTATAAGAAAGCAGTCTGGGCAAGCCATGAGGAGCAAGCCAGTAATCTGTTTCCCTTCCATGGCCTTTGAATCAGCTCCTGCCTCCAGGTTCCTGCCCTGTTTGAGTTCCTCTCCCAACTTCTTTCAATGATAGTCTATGGTGTGGTAGAGAAAGCCCAATAAACCCTTTCTTCCTCTAGTTGCTTTGGTCATAGTGTTTCATCACAGCAATAGACACCCTAACTGAGATGTTCCCTTCACCCTTTCTGAACGGGGACCCAGCTTAGTCTACATTAGTTACTGAATCCTGAAGAATGGGTATCTCAGCAGTAAAACACTTGCCTAGCATGTGAACGACTCTGGGTGTGATCCCCAGCACAGAAAAACAAAAACATACCTCTCCTATTATATATAATAAAACCCTACTCCCTAATTCTTACCGATGGCAAGGGAGAATGATGGACCAAGTCAATGGAATAAGGAGGACCGAAGGTGGCGGTTGGCTAAGCTACGACCCGAATCACCCTGAAGTCCTTGCCCAGATGAACCTTGTGGCTTCTGCCAGCTGGTATAGAACATACTGCCCTGACTCTCTGGACACGAGGCACCAGACCTTGGATCCCATTCCCTGCCATGGCGCCACCCTTATTGGAACCTGTGGCACCAGTGTAATGATGCCCCTAAAAGACGTCCTCCAGGATCCCTGCTCTTTAAGTGCCTCACTCCAGATACTAAACCTTGGAATGGGATATGACCATGCCTGAGTCCCCGGCCACACCTAGATGCCAGGTCATTTGGGAAAGAAGTCTCTGGAATACACACCTTCTAAGGAGGTGGGCTCTGCCATCCACTAAGATAAAGGGAGCGATTATGCCCAGATTGGCTTCAGAGGCTGGGCAACCTCCAAATAGCACACAGCTTCTACATTTATATTTGGGCTTTTGGACTAAATGGTGGAAAAAGGCAACAGCTTTGGGGAGCCTGGAAGGGGCACAACTTGGATCTCACCTTCCCCTCTCTAGAAAATGCAGGGGAAACATGACTGTTATTGAGGCCTCTACCTAGGATCCTCTTCCCAGCTCAACTCAACCTTTTCCTAGACTCACAAAAAGCTCCCTCTTGCCAAAGAGACTATTCTACCGCTGGATTACATCACACTTCTTAGAAATGAATTCCATCATTTTGTGAATCTTGTTCAGCTCCGCTATAAGAACAAAAATGCTATTCACTAAAGAGCTAACAAATATTTATTTACTGTCTGCTGGGCCTTAAAGGGACAGAGGGAACAAAGACATGCCTGTGCCTGGGAGCAGATGGTCATATCCAGGTGGGAAGGTTTGCAGAGAGGAATGACGTCTCCCAGAGTCTAAGGCATCTGAATATTTGGTGCCCAGTTGGTAGGACTGTTGGGGTACATTTAGGAGGTGTGGCCTCCTGGAGGGAGAATGTCACTGAGGGTGGGCTTTGAGGATTTAAAGACTTTAGCCATTTCTAGCTTGTGCTTTCTGCTTGCAATTCATGAGGTAAGCCCTCAGCTTCCTGCTTCCTGCCAACGCACCTTCACTCTCCCATCATGGACGCCAACCCTCTAGAGCAGAGGTTCTCAACCTGTGGGTCACCACCCCTTCTACAGGAGCTCGCCTAAGACCATCGCAAAACACAGATGTTACGATTCATAACAGTAGCGAAATTACAGTTATGAAGTTGCAACAAAGATACTTTTATGGTTGGGGGGGTCACCACAGCATGAGGAACTGCATGAAAGAGTCACAGCATGAGGAAGGTTGAGAACCACTGCTCCAGAACCTAGGCACAAATAAACTCTTTCTTGATAAATTGCCTCGGTCTTGGTGTTTTTATTACAGCAACAGAAAAGTAACTAGCCGGGCGGTGGTGGCACACACCTTTAATCCCAGCACTCGGGAGGCAGAGGCAGGCGGATCTCTGTGAGTTCAAGGCCAGCCTGGTCTACAGAGCGAGATCCAGGAAAGGCGCAAAGCTACACAGAGAAACCCTGTCTCGAAAAACCAAATAAATAAATAAATAAAAATAAGAAAAGTAACTAAACCAGGAGGTGACTTGGTAAATTGGTCTTGACATTAATCTGTTCTTAGCCCTTGAGAAGAAGAGAACCTTCCAGAGAAAAGGAAGGGTAGGTGAGGAATAGAGATGAGGAGTCACGATGTGTCCACCACTCCTCTACCGCTGTGATAAAGCAGCGTGACTAGGGCATCTTACAAAAGGAAGGATCTATTTTGGGCTTCCACTTCCAGGGGTTTAGGGTCATCATGATGAGGGCGGCATGGCAGCAGACAGTGGATACGGCAGCTGGGGCTGCAGCTGAGGACTCACATCTGGAACCACATCTGGAACCACAAACAGGAAGCAGAGATAACAAACTGGGCACGGTGTGTGGCTTTTAAAACCTCCAAGCCCATCCTCAGTGACATACGTCCTCCAGCAAGGCCACGCCTCCTAAACCTACGCAAAAAGGGCCACCAGCTGGTGACTGTCATGGAGTATTATTTTAAAGTGTGTTGCACGTTTTCCTACTGCTTTTGTTAACAACGCAAAGATGTGTTACGTTCATTTAATTAAATAAAATTAACCTGCAAGCAGGAGGCTGAGTCCGCAAGTAGCTGACAGGAAGTGGTAAGGAGGAAGCTTGTGTAGCTAGGGTTCTTAAGTGGGGGCTCAGCAGAAGGACACCCGGGTTTTTTGGAAGACACAAAGGGGGAGGAAGGTTAGCTACTTGCTTTTCAGCTTCTCTGAGTGAGCAGAATTCCACCTCAACATTTGAATGGTGAGTTCTTTAGAGGGATAGAGATCTAGATAAAGTTTCCCTTAATAGCTTTGGGAAGAGTGGGCGCCTGAGGAAACAGATTTCCCTCAGGCTATGGCCTTTTCGGCCTAACCACAGCTGGTAGCTGTGAGTTGCAGTCACTGACTAGGACAGCAGTTGCTTAAGGGGACGTCTCTGTAAATAATGAAAAAACAGGCAACAACAGGTGACCAAGTATTCTTTCAAACCGCCATAGTGAGGAAGCATGGTGTGTTGGGAACAGAGGGATTAGAAGACAGCGTGTATGGCGTGGATGAGTGGAGTGTGAATTGCTGATGGAAGTCTGAAGATCTTTGAACATTTCCCTGAGGTTACCAAAGGCCTTTTTTTTTTTAATTAACTTTGCATTGTGGGTATATATATATATATATTTTATCATTTTAGCTATTTGTATGTGTAACGTATGTGTTCATGTGTGTGGTGCAGGTGGAAACCAGAGGTAGGTATCAAATGCCACCTTCCATCATTTTTTTTTTTTTTAAATTTAGATGAATGGACTTGGAGAGTCTCTCTCTTGGTTTTTTGAGATAGGGTTTCTCTGTGTAGCCCTGGCTGTCCTGG